CCTTCATTTCGGTAGATCCTCTTTTTGAAAGGGTAACACAGCAACACATACCATGCTTCTCCTGATAATGATCTGGGGAGGCATGGGATCTGTACAGATAAAAATATTGAGGTGTAAATTCTTTAATTAAATGTCTTTTATCTGGGCTTATTTTAACATTCTGAAAGGGCCCATAGTTTGTATCTCACTGGTGGCTCTGAACCACCAATGGTACATGCACAACTGTCCCTTTGGGTAGCATGGTACAGTCACATTGAGTGTGGTATAAGCTCCTCATGCAAGTCACATATGTACCAATCTGGTGGCTTAGGCTCTCAGGATGGTGTGTAAGGTAGTTACTGGAAATACAGCATTCTTTTTATCACAACTTATTAGAATTGCAGCTTCTTGGAAGTTAAATATTTCCTTAACTCACTTAAATTCATTCTTTGTCTTTAAGCTAGCATAAATGTTGGGTTTATTAGATACAGAATAAAGGGACTGTTTTCAAGGAGAAAAAGGGTAATTCCTTTATCATTCCACCCCTTCAGCACCTGTTTAACATGAAATTGTCACCTTAAATTTAGGATGTTCTTTGCCTTCTCCATTCCTCCCTGCCCTTTAAAAAAGAAAAAAAAGAAAAAAGAAAGTCTTAGAAAAAAATACATGTAATCTTGGTAGTCAATGAGTTAATGTTCATTTGCAGCCTGAGGGGTCAGCATGCAGTCTCTGCTTGCTGATTGGCTGCTAAAAGGTGAAATTGAAACCACTGTAAACTTTTGACCCTGTAGCAATTCTTGTGGAACGGCCTTCCCCTGGTGGAACCTAGAGCTTTACTCCCCTTCTCTTTCCTGTATTTATATTGAGTGAGATCATGCAGCATTGCATGCAGATTTTCCAGGAGACGAGAAAGGAGGCAGAGTGAGCACCAGCAAACTGCTTGCTGGTGCCCGTTTGGTAATTTGAATCTTGAGTCATTACTGACTTAACTCAGAGACATGGTGTTTGGTTAATAAACTGGTCTGCCAAATGGAGTTTTTAGTTTTCTCCTTGATCAAGATAATTTTTTTAAAAATGCAGAATTTTTTAATGCTGTTGTCTAGGAGTGGATAATGATATCATCATCATAGTAGAATTTGTGGCTTAATTTTCCAGATCTGTTGAATAAAAAATACTCACTTTCAGCTACTCCCTTTGTGTTTTGTATATCAAACATATTTGTTACATAAAAGGCCAGCATTTTACAGTATCTTCCCTTCCTTTGCCTTTTATCATAAATTCAAATGACATTTTGGTTTCCTTAATTCCGGGGATAATTGTAGGAATTGCATATTCTGATTTCATTAATTTTTCTTTCTTTCTTTCTTTCTTTCTTTCTTTCTTTCTTTCTTTCTTTCTTTTTTTGGTTGAGATAGATGGGTTTTGAGCTAAATGGATTTGCACATGAGTGCACACTCATAGAAACTGGCTTTCTGGGGCTGGTGAGATGGCTCAGTGGTCTGGAGCACCTACTTAGAACAAGCTTAACAAATCAGAGGGACCATGGTTCAATCCCCCAGCACCACATGCCAGCCAGCCCCGCCCCCTGGTGGGCTGAGGGGGGGGGCGCCACACACACACACACACACACACACAAATAAATAAAATTGAAAAAAAATACTGTTAAAAAAAAAGATACTGGCTTTCTATGAAAAAGGCCACTTTTTCTTTGTAGTAGTGTCATAAGATGCTGTCTTTCATTTTTGGTTCTTTTTATCTTTGTCAAGGTGAGACACTGATTCTACATTTCTTTCAGAAACATTAGTGGCTGTTTATATCTGCTCTTCTTTCCTAACTAATAGTAGGAGCCATGTGTTGCTATTTTCAAGTGCAAGTGTATTGCCTGGCAGCTAGTAAAACACGGCAAGCATTCAGTCAAATTAAATGACTTGTATAAGGTTGCCTTGAAGAAGTTCACCTTTATAGAACCTGAGGTTTCTTGTAGGTATGGTGGTGTATACCTGTAATCCCAGCATTCAGGAGGCTGAGGCAACAGGCTTTCCATGAGTTTGAGGCCAGCCAAGGTCTCATAGAGAGACCCTATCTCAAAAACAGGTAAACCTGGGTTTTCTGAGGCCATAGTGTCTGTTCATTGAACCATTTAAATTTTCAGGGCCAGGGCTTCATTACTCCATTGAGAAGTAAGCATGTGTTTTAATTTATGAAATTATCATGTTAAATAAATTGTAAGTCAACTTGATTATAGTACATAATTATGATAAATGGCATGAGTTTTTTTAAAGACCTTATTAGGCATGCTTATGTTGTAATAATTCTTTTTCTCCTATAAAAATATTACAGTATTTTTATGTTGTTACATCACGCCACATCATATTTTTTGGTACCAGGAATCAAATTCATGACTTCATACTTGTCAGGCAGATGCTGTGTTGCTGAGCTATATCCCCGGCTATTAGAGGTTTTTTGTTTTTGTTTTTGTTTTTGGTACTGGGGATTGAATCTTGCGCTTGCCAGGCAGGCACTTATGCTACTGAGCTAGCTCCCTGCACCCTCCCCAACTTTTTTTTTTTTTTTTTTTTAAACA